CATTTTGTTACTAAATGGATAGAACTAGAATGATGATGATTAGATTGAAATTTGGGGGGCACTTAGAGAATTACCTGGTTAAGTCTTAACTAAATTTCACTACTAAAGAACTATTGCTGATTCAATATTTTATTGCCATGTTTCGTACTTTGAGCTTTAATTTTCAATTTTTTATAACTTTTAATTTAATTTTTATAATTTTATTTTCATAACCTATTACAATTACCTGTTGCTGGGTTACATAAACTCTAGTGGCTAGGAACTACAAACATTTATTATCTTGCAGTTGCTGTGCACCAATAATTTGAGAGCAGCTGGGCAGAGTGGTTCGAACAGGGATCTCCAGGTTGTAACAGTCAGCCTAGGCTGGGCTGGAGCTGAAGGGGCCTCATTCGTAGGTAGATCTCAGTGTCTCCCAGTGTGGGCTTCATTCTGAGTCTGCTTGAGTATTCTCACCACCTGGCAAACAGCTTCCACAGGGTGTGTTATCCAAGACAGAGCAAAAAAATATCCAAGTGCCTTTTATGGCCTCTTTCTGAAGTTGCCAGTTTTCTGCTCATTAGAAACAAATCATTTGTGCTTACTTCGGTAGCACATATGGAATGCTACAGAGATTAACATGGCCCCTGCGCACAGATGACATGCAAATTTGTGAAGCATTCCATATTTTAAAAAAAAAAAAGAAGAGGAAGAAGAAACAAATTTTAGTCCAGGCCCAAATCTAATTCAGGAGGAAAGGATTTAGATTGCAGCTCTTCTGTCAAAGAATGCATAGACATATTTTAAAACTATATGCTGCTTGAGATAGCTGTCAAGCATTTGTTGTTACACCCATCTTACTGATGAGAAAAATAAGGTTACAGCTTATATAGCCTTGTTTCCTTCTTCTGACCTCTCTGTTTGCCTTCCCAGTGTCCATCCCAGACTTGGTTTTTCTAATTTATTCAGTAAATGCTTATTCATTCCCTCTCTTTGAGCCCAGCACGGCTATTATGGAGTGTAGAACAGATATTATCCTTGATAGCATAGCCTCTACAGTCTTGTGAAGAAGAGAGATCTTAATCATAGACTAAGATAAGTAATAAATCATTGTCATTTTGAGAAGTGCTATGAAAAAAATGTATCCCTGGACCTAATCATAGTTGTATTATCCACTTATTTCCCCAGAGCCGCCGTCACCTTTTCAACCTAGAAAGAATGCCTTCTATATCTGAGCCCTTTTAGCGTAAAGCCTGTCCTTTCAGCCTGCTAGTATTCGGTTTTCAGAATCATATTTAATGTGCCCTCATCTTTTACTCCACTATCCTGAAATATCCTTGAGGTGAGAAATCAGATTTTCCCATAATTCCTCTCTGTTCATCATCTTTCATATGCAATGCCATCTCTACTTCTGCTACTGCTTCTGCCACCTCTCGGGTCCAAACCACCCTGATATCTTTTTCTTTTTTTTAAAGATTTATTTATTTATTGGAAAGTCAGATATACAGAGAGGAGGAGAGACAGAGAGGAAGATCTTCCAATCGATGATTCACTCCCCAAGTGAGTGCAACGGCCAATGCTATGCCGATCCGAAGCCAGGAGCCAGGAACTTCTTCCGGGCATCCCACATGGGTACAGGGTCCCAAAGCTTTGGCCCATCCTTGATTGCTTTCCCAGGCCACAAGCAGGGAACTGGATGGGAAGTGGAGCTGCTGGGATTAGAACCGGCGCCCATATGGGATCCTGGAGTATTCCAGGCGAGGACTTAAGCCGCTAGGCCATGCTGTCAGGCCCACCCACCCTGATATCTTGCCTAGACAAGCCATACAGCCTTTTTACTGAACTCTCCTTTTTCATGGGACAGCCACAGCAGTCTTCCTGTTTGAGTTTCATCAGCCAGGAGAGTAGCCTGCTTCCACCCATTCTCATCACACCTCAGGCATAATCCATATCCTTTCTGTAGCTTACACATTCCACTTGTTGTGATGCTTCCCTGCATCTTTGGACTCACCTCCTACTTCTTTCTCTTTTCTACTCTGAATGATTTGACCCCAAATTATACAGTCCTTTATAGGAGCCAGAAACTCCACTCAAGTCTCCCACATTGGTGGCAGGATTAATTCACTTGAGTTATCATCCCAGGAGCATTAGCAGGAAACTGGATTAAAAACAGAGGCGTTCAAACCAGTACTTCAGTAGGGGATTTTAGTGTCACAAGCAGTGCCTTTACTCACTGAACCACAGTGCCAGTCCCTCTCGTGCCGATGTTTAAACCCTAAACTCATAGGATAATGATACTAAGATGAAAACTTAATCCAATTATAGTGCCTAAGAAGTGGGGCCTAGTAGATCAATTCCCCTGGAAGGTAGTTTTTCTAAGAGGGTTGTTAGAGAAGCCTGAATTTGGGCCCAACCTCTCTCTGCTCGCTGGCCTGCTATGACCATCTACATGGGACCTTCACCAAAGCCTGTCATTTGAACTTTGAACCTCCCAAATTGAGTTAAATAATAAATAAGCTTTTTTCAGAGCCAGTACTGTGGTGCAGCAAGTTAAACCTCCACTTGTGGTGCTGGCATCCTATATGGATACTGGTTCAGATTTTGAATACTCCACTTTTAATCCTGCTCCCTGATAATGTGCCTGAGAAAGCAGCATAAAATGGCCCAAGTCACCCATGTGGGAGAGCTGGGAGAAGCTCCTGGATCCTGGATCCTGGCTTTGGCCTGCCCTAGCTCTGGCTGTTGCCACCATTATAGGAGTGAACCTGAAGACACAAGATACTCTCCTTATGTCTCTACTTTCTTTGTAATTCTGCCTTTCAAGTAAGGAAAAAAAAATCTTAAAAAAAAAAAAAAACCTCTATAAATTTAATGTCTTGGCATTTTGTTGTAGTAACAGAAATACTGACCAATTCATATTCTGTTCTCTTACACAAACACACATGCACAGTTCTGCCACATACCTTTCTATTCTTTAAACATGCCAGGCTGTTTTCTGTAATGTGGCCTTTGCCCTAATAGTTCCCTCTGCTCTGAAGTATGTTTCATCCTTTGTGTGGTGCATGCCTTCTTATTTATATCTCAGTTTAAAGGCCATCTCCTTAAGTAGGCCTTCTCTGACCATCCAATCTAAACTAGCTTCCTAATAACTCTTATCAAGTCACCTTATTATTTTCTTCTAATACTTCCTGCTAGCAGAAGTTTTTCTTACATAAGATTGACTATATTAGTCAGCCTTGTATTACCATGACTGAAATACCTGAAACAGGCTTCTTACAATGGAAGAAGGTTTTGTGGCTCATGGTTTATAACAACACTCCAAGGTCAAGCAGCCCTGTTTACTCTGCATGTAGTCAGGGGGCTGTGGATGGCAACACCAGAATGTGTACAGCAGAGGGATCCAACAACAAGGCAGGAAAGAACACAACAAGGTATATGTGGGTTAGGCTTATGTCACCAGCTTTCTCATGAGAACTGCCTTCCCCAGTGACCTTAGGACCTCCCACTGGACCACACACCTTCTAACAAGGAAATTGGATCAGGTCTTTCCCAGTTCCTTCCTGCACCACCAACCCATTGCCCTGTGGTTTAAAGACCTACTTGAGTTTGGAAGCTACATCATGTTCAAAGGATAACAGTGTTCTTGTGCTCAAATGTAAACACTGTAACCCCTGATATCTGAGGTTTGCTACTGGTGTGTAGTAGGGCTTTCCAAATATAGGTTGCATTAATGAAAAATGATGGTAAGCCTCTGAACTTACCCTCCAAAGAGGGAAGAAGGAGTAGAGAACCCTAGTTCCCACTTCCTCACTGGACACCCTCCCTCTCTTTTAGACAAACTATGGCTCTCTTAAATGCTTTTCATAGTACTTACCTGATTTCTTCTTTATTCCACTCTCCCTCCTGCTAGGGTGTTAGCTCCCTTAGGGCAGAACCTCTTGGGCTCATCTGCCATCTCTTCTCAGTGCCTGCAGCAGTGCATACCCAGAGAAGATGGCAGACATTGTTGAAGGAATCAGCAGGGAACTAAGTCCTACATTGCCTTCTGTCTCCTGGGTCCTCCCACTGTGTTTGTCCTGTAGAAGTGACCAGAAACTTTGGTGGTTTCTCTGTAGAGCCACTTTGAATATAATTGCTTGGGATAAATCTGTGTTTTCATCCTGGAATTTGGAATAGTAAAGCAGTTTGGAACTTAGAATCTTTGAAGTGTTCTGAGCCACATCATAGGGCCTATTAGAATAAAATCTCTGCAGCTTGAAATAGAGTTTTATGCAAGTTCCCCTAGTTCCCATTCAAGAGAAAATTCCAGTTATTTCGAATTCTGTTCCTAAATAACAGAAGGAAAGCCACATCTTATTTTTGATTCAATTCCTATTTTAATACATTTATTACATCAGTTAGTGAGTCAGTGGGTATTTATTGAGCCCGTTCAGGATACAGAGATGCTTTGGTTGAACTATTGAGTTTGAAATATTAATCACATTATTAAACCAAAACCAAATCCCCAAGTAGTTGAAAATGCTGTTCAAGTTGTTGGGATACAGTTCCGATAGATTGTATTTTGTGATGATAGGCTTTTGTTTTATAATGTATGTTCCCACTTGGACAGGAACAAAAAAGTTAAATAATAAGGTGTTGTATTTCAAGACCAAAATGAAGTCTTGAAGTGGTCTTTGATCATTAGGTTTTTTTTCCTGTCCAATAGTTAAAAGGTTGTGTAATAATCACTGTATCTTTTGGGTAATATAAGATCTGTGGGTCTTACAGCTGTCAGAATTAGCATTAAGAATGATATTTGCCTTTCCTTCTTTGATACTAACATTAAAGTTGGGCAAGAAGAGGAATATCATTGCTGCCTCCCCGATCTCAAGGTTATTCAAGGTACTGTGTGCCTATACTCCTAAGAGCAGACAGGATCACAAAACCATGAGAAATCCAAAGGTGCCCTGACATCACCCTAGAGTTTATGAAAGAAGTATGTATTCTATAAATGGTTTTCCTGATTACTCTCTTCCTTCCAGATTTCTCTGTTGACTTCTGCAGTAAACCACCTTAAAGCCAATGTTAAGTCAGCTGCAGACTTGATTAGCCTGCCTGCCACTGTGGAGGGACTTCAGAAGGTAAGTGCTATGTATGCTGCTAATGAACTAACCTGCTGTAATTCAAACTTCTTACCATCTACAGTATGAAAGGTTGTCATTCGTAATTAGTTGCTCCAAGATATCAGTGATAGAGTATATCATTGTGTCCTAAAAAATTCAAAACAGCCTTATTTGGACCTGGTTAATTGGACCTATAATTTACAATAGGTTGTTTTACCCAGGGTTTATATGAGTTCCCACCTTGTTACTGAATTCTCTATGTCCCAAAATCATTCTGTTGGACTCTCAGGTTAGCATATATGTTGGACTCTCAGGTTAGCCTACTTTTCAAAGATGGCCTTTTTAATTCATCATTCACAGTCTTTCTGAAAGACCAGTTGTACATGAAACTTGCTATAAATTTTGTTTTCTGTGATTGAGAAATTTTGTTTTGTTTTTAATGAATAGCCTGGGAAATGGAAATTTTTAAAGTTCAGTGTTGATAAGAATGTGAAGCAAAAGAAATTTTGAAATACACCTGCTGGGAGTATATTGATAAAAAGTCACTTTGGAAAGCAATTTGATAGTGTTTTGTAAAAGTAAACATGTACTTCTTCTGATGACTTCATTCCCTGAAATCTACCCTAGACTCCAGGGCCTAGGCAAAGAGTAGTTCAGCATTTCTGTTTCCTTCATGCTAGAATTCAGTGCTAAGGCAGGAGCCAAAGACAGCCAGATGAGGGGGATTCAGAGGCCCTTGAAGCTAAATGGAAAGAGTGAATGGGGCAGGAAGAGAGAAGGAGAAACTGGACTGGAACAAAAGGAACATCATCAGTTGCAGCAGGAAATGAGAAAAGGGATTCAGGAATGGGAGAACCCTACACCATGGGTATGAAATCTAGGTCCTTTGACTTTTAAAAGTTCATCTCTGGGTTACAGATGCTCTGTTGCAGCAGGTTAAGATGTCACTTGGGAGTTTCTCATCTCAGATCTGGGTGCCATGAAGCCAGTCCTGCCTCTGCTTGCCATCCAACTTCCTGTTGATGTGTATCCTAAAAGGTGATGACTCAAGTATATGGATCCCTGCCACCCATGTGGAAGACCCGAATGGAATTCCTGTCTCCTAGCTCTGCCTGGCCTAGTTGCAGCTATTATGGGAATGCGGGGAGTGAACCAGCAGATGGGAGAGATTTCTTTTGTTCTTGCTCTCACTCTGCCTTTTAAATAAATAAAAGTAAAATAAATTTTAAAATAATGATAATAAAGTTAATGTATTATGCATTTTATATGATTATATTCCAGACTGTAAACATACATGTTTCCACAAAGACATGGGATATTCATAAACCACCGGCAAAAACAAAACTTGCTATTTAATAGCCACAACACCTGTGTATGCTCAGTTTCCATAGTTTACCACTGGTCTAATATGGTCATGTAGCTTTTACTTTAATGAAGCCAGATTTCTTGGACACTGTCCTCCAGGACCAAGTAGAGGAAAGGCAAGCCTCCCCAGCCTTGAGTGCAAACATTCTTGCAGTCTTACATTAGAAGAAGAAATTGATTCTATCTTGATTCTTTCACTTAATACCCATTGGCAGAGCTTCCTCCAGGATGTACCAGGCACTTTGCAGCTGGTAGGAATACTGGTTTCAGAGTTTTGTTCCCAAGTTTATATGTCTATCAGCTGCTTTCTTGAAAAACTAAAAAAGAATCCCTAAAACAAGAGCTTACTATCTTCTTGCATCCTGATGGGCTTTATACACCCAGCCAGTGAGGATTCTCAAACAGTAGGTGTCTTTGAATGCCTGTAGTTTTTGTCACTACAGAGCTTACATAAATAGCATCCCAGCTTACAGACTTTTACCCAGTGTGTTATCACTACAGATCTGCGCATTTCAAATACTAGGCACTGGTGTTTTAAGTTTGTTTTTCTTTTTTTTTGTTAAACAGCTGGCTCAGTTTTGAAGTGGTAGGTCATGTCAGGAACCTATCTTCAATGTATTCCATGTAATTTTTACTGTTGAAAATTTTAAGTCTTGTCTTCCTAGATCCTTGATCTTAGTTAAAAATAACATGACACTATGAAATTATCAACACGTCTTAATAAAAGGTCAAAACTCTCTGACTGATATTAGGGATGCTCCCTTTTATAAAAGATGGCAAATGAGAATGTCCTCAATCTTCTTAGGCTCCTGAGGCCTAAAGAGAACAAGGAGGCTGTGGCCTCTATCTGGTTCTACTCACCAGCTGCTGACAGGATTCTATGGTAAAGGAAGAACCTGCCAAATGCATCCCGTCAGTTCTTCAATACTGGGCTTCCCAAAGTCAAAAATGGTTTCACCCCTTTTTGCTCAAAGGACCATATTTGCACCTGGCACAGTGACAGTTTGTGGGGTTGCCTCTGGCCATCCGCCTGCCCACAAAAAGGTTCAACAAAGGCCATTTGTGGCAAAAATTTACCTCTGGGTCCCAGATTTATAAATACTATATTTTCTTTAGGAAATATTTGGTTATCCTCTATCAAAAGCCCTTTAAATCAAGACAATTGCTTGTGTTTCATATGTATTTCTATAGATATATGGAAAACTAGAATGTATATATTTCCTGTTAATTGTCCCAGTATAAGCTACATGCAATTCATAGTTAGAAAATTATTTGAAATAATTAAAGCACAGATCTATTTGGTCAGGGTAAAGATTGGCAGTGTTGTGAAGATAGGGAGTGACACCACTTCTGCTAAGAGTGTGAAATTATATAACCATTTTAGAACATTGTTTCACAGGGTTGGTTTGTTTGCTTGAGTTTTTGTTATTTTCATCTACTTGAAAGGCAGAGAGAGCTCTTCTGCTTACTGGTTCACTCCCTAAATACCTGCAGTGGCTAGGGTTTCCTCAGGCCAAAGCCAGGAACCCATAAGTCCATCCAGGTCTCCCACATGGATTGCAGGGACCCACACATTTAAACCAGCACCTGATACCTCCCAGGATACATTAGCAGGAAGCTGGATCAGAAGTTCAAAAGTGAAGGACCAGGAACTCAAACTGGCACTCTGATGTGGAATATGGGCATGTCACACAGCAACTTCACACACTGCCACAATGCCTACCTTTTTGGCAGTTTTATTTTGTTTCTAAGTTAAATTAAATCTGCCATATGATTAGCCTTTCACCTCGTGGGTTTTGTGATGACACAAAAGCGTTTTAATGAAAAGAAATGAAGCACAAGTTCTTGTGAAGACATGACCATAAATGTTTATAGCAACTTTACTTTTAGTAGCCAAATACTGAAAACCATCTAAATGTGTGTCGATGCATGAATAAACTGTACAATTACACAACTGTAACTGGAACACTGTACTCTGCAAAAAATAACTGCAATGTGAATGAGTCTCAGTTATGTGAGTGAAAGAAGCCTTTCTAAAAAGCCTGCAAATCCAGTAGTTCTATTTACATAAAATTCTAGAAAATTAAAACAGATGGTGGTCAGGGAAAATAGATCATTGGTTGCCTGGCAACAGGAATTTTGAAGGGAGGAATTGGGAAGAAACCTTTGGTGGTGATTAATGTTTACTGTTGGTCATAGTGATGGTTTTACAGATATGTATTTGTCAAAATACTTAGATATACATTTGAATGTATGCAGTTTGTCACATATCAGTTCTGTGCTTTAAAGAGCATCAGAAACAGGGGGAAACACTGACCTTTCTACTTTCTAATGTTTAGAGTGTAGCTTCCATTGGCAATACATTAAATAGCGTCCGTCTTGCTGTGGAAGCAATGCAGAAGACTGTGGATGAGCAAAAGGAAACCATGGAGTTACTGCAGAATAACATGGTAAGGAAGTCTGCCAAAGCTCCACAAAGGCAGCACGTTGCTACTCACCCTTTTTTGTGTATAAGGTTCATCGGTGCTTTGCACTGATCTGAACAGACCCTATTGATCACCTATCTATTACTAGACCTAATAAGCAGCACACATGATTGTTTTACAATTTGTAAATTAAGTAGTTGAGAAAGATAGAATTAAAAGGTGAGTCTTTTTTGCTAAGACTGCGGATAGGTCATGGCAGGCTGGATCAGAGTACCTGCCAGTGAGCATAAGATCCAGGACTGGGAACCAGCCTGGTAGGGGAACACTGGGGACTTCCCTGGTAGGCAGCACCTCCCACTGGTAAGTGTGAGAGCCAGGGTTGTGGGACCAGGCTGGGCAAGTCTATAGTGCCCATGGGCATTCATGTAGTCTGAGTCTGGTGCCAGGCCAGACTCAGCTAGGCGCCAGCATCCACTGGTGCTTAAGAGAGCCAGAGTGGGTGTGGAACAGGCCGGGCTAAGCTTTGGCATCAGCCAGATAACATGAGGGCTGGGTCTAGGGGTGTGCCAGGTTGAGCTAGGCTGTATCACCCACTTGCAAGAGCCGGAATGGATGCAGACCAGTCGGGCTAGGCCTAAGTACACCATCATTAGTGCCAGGACTGGGAGTGTGGCCATGTCAGGCTGGGCAGTAATACCCATTGGCACTCACAAGAAGAGGTGAGCCTGGTAGGGGAGTTTGGGGAATTCCTCTGATAGGCTACAGCTCCTGCTAGTAAGCATAAAAAGGGAGCTGAGGGCAAACCAGGCGAGGCCAGGCTGTAGCACCCTTCGATATATGTGTGGTCCAGGTCTGGGGCAGGCTGGGCTGGGGCAGTCTACAGCAAACACTGGCACAAGTAAGAGCCAGGATGGAGTATAGGCCAGACCAGGTTGGATTGCAACATCTGCCAGTTCACATGAGGGCTGGGACTGAGACAGAATGGGCCATGCTGGGCTAAGCTGTTGAATGCCTGCTGGTGAATGCCAAGACTGGGGGCAGGCCATTTCACTGGGCTGCAGAACCACTGGCACACACAAAACTTCGGGCTGGGAATGGGTCTGGTGGGAAAACCTCTGGGACTCCCTTGCTGGGCCTCTGCTTCCACTGGTGAGCATGTAAGCTGGGACTGAAGGTATGCCAGTCTGGGCATGTTTGCAGCACCCATCAGCTGCTATTTAGGCTGGGTCTGGGGACAGTCTAGGCTTCCACACCTGCTGGCACAAGGGAAAACCAGAACGGGTGTGGGCTAACTGGACTAGGCTACAGTACCAGCTGACAGTTACTGAAAATGGATCAAGTCATATCGAGATGGACCACAATACCTCCAGGCAAGTGCAAAATCCAAGGCTGGGAACAGGCCTAGTAGGGGAACTGTGGGCACTCCCCCACTGGGCTGCAGCTCCCGCTGGTAAGAGCCATGGCTTGGGGGGTAGGCCAAGCTGGTCAAGGCAGAAACACCCATCAGCATACATGTGGACTGATCTGTTGAGCTGAGCTAAGCTGCGGCACTCATGGGTATGCATGAGAGCCAGATGGAATGTGGGATGGATTGGGCTAGTAGAAGCTGGCACACAAAAAAACTGTGGCTGGTAGTAGGCCTGGTAGGGGTTGTTGGGAGTTACCCCAACTAGGCCATGACACCTGCTGGTGTGAAGATCAGGCCGGCGGTGGGCCAGGCTGGGCTAGGCTGTAACACCCATCAGTTCATTATTTCACATGAGGGGTAGAACTGCAGCAGAACTGACCAGGCAGCTTCTTCTACAGGTAGTTGCATTGGCTAGTGCAGGTAATGGACTGAACCTGACCCTGCATTAGGTGGATCTCACAGGAATCAAGTTAGGTCATCCCTGGCAAGGTTTCTTAGGAGACTGCCCAACTAGATCTCTGGACTCACGTCCCAGCTACATAGAAAATTACAGTGTATGTGGTGTGACCTTGGAGAGTATATATCAAGACTGGGCCTCCACAGTTGCTGATGCCTGTGCAATGGACAGCATGATGCCCAGATGTACACAGGGGTCATGACAGCCATCTCATCTAGGCCAGCACAGGATGTCAAGTGCCTCGTCAGAGGATGGAAAGCAGGACATATTGGACAACTTTGCTGCCTAAGCTTTGCAGCAGTCTGAGTCTGTGGATACACACTGAGGTGGACTTGGTTAGCCTCTTAACTCTGGTACAGTGAAGCTGAAGGAATCTCAGCACTATCAGAACCACTCAAGTAACACCCTCGGAACATTCTTCCCCATCAGCGCCTCGAAGGGGTCATCAAATGAGTGTCCTCTATCCCTGGGTACTAATATAGTTTGACTGCCTGTACACCCTGCACTGCTCCCTCTACATTGGTCCTGAGTGCTTTGGGCAGGTCATATAGTATATGGTATGTAGTATATAATAAAATTTTCAAGGTATTAAAAAATATATCAAAATATCAAAACTGCCTCAACCTCAGGGTAATGATTTTATTATTGAGTTTTATTTTTTAAAAGAGTTATTTTTATTGGAAAGGCAAATTTACAGACAGAAGGAGATTCAAAGATTTTCCAGCTGCTGGTTCACTCCCCAAATAACCACAAGGACCAGAGCTGAGCCAGGAGTTTCCATGTGGGTGCAGGGTCCCAATTATATAGAGAGAGGAGAGATGGAGAGGAAGATCTTCTTCCATCCAATGATTCACTCCCCAAGTGACCGCAATGGACGGTGCTGAGCCGATCCTAACCCAGAAGCCAGGAACTTCTTCCAGGCCTCCCACGTGAGTACAGGGTCCCAAGGCTTTGGGCCGTCCTCAACTGCTTTCCCAAGCCACAAGCAGGGAGCTGAATGGGAAGCGGGGTTGCCGGCATTAGAACTGGCACCTATATGGGATCCTGGCATGTTGAAGGCGAGGATTTTAGCTGCTAGGCCATGGTGCTGGGCATATATATATATTTTTTAATGTGGCACTGGAAGAGATAGAGGGATGAGGCAGGTTCTGAGAATGAAACAGTAGGAGAGAAAATTGAAGAAAAAAAGAGATGGAGAAGTATTCCACCTATTTATTGCTACTTAACAAACCATCTCCAAAATTTGTACCTTAAAGCAAGTTATTATATCTCACTGCACAGTGCATCAGGAGATGGGCAAAGCAGAAAGGTCAAGGGAAGAAGCACTCCAAGGAGTGAAAGGCCCTCTCAGATATTGCAGCTCAGCCAGGCTACCCATTGGATGCAGCCATGTGTGTATGTGCCTAGAGCATGTGTAGTAAGAGCACCTCCTCCCTCCCCAGCCTGCCCTCCCTTCATAGCTGAGCACAGTCAACCCACAGCATCAAGAGAAATGGCCAGTTTTTGCTTTAGACAGAGTTTAGAGATGATGTGTTAGGCAGCAACAGATAGCGAAGACAGAAGTAAACCCCCGCAGTGCCCATGAGTTATGTTCATATACCTCCACATCTCAGTGGTGCTGCAAGTGTAAGCTTCCCACAGTCATTTTGAGACCTTGATTCTTCACTTAATGGTTAACAGCTCTGTAAGGATTAATGAGGGAAAATAAGAGATGGGGCTCAACGCGATACCTCAGTGGCTAAGTCCTCACCTTGCAAGCTCCAGGATCCCATGTGGGCAACCGTTCGTGTCCCAGCTGCCCTGTTTTCCATCCAGGTCCCTGCTTGTGGTCTAGGAAAGAGTAGAGGATGACCCAAAGCCTTGGGACCCTGCACGCATGTGGGAGACCTGGAAGAAGCTCCTGAATCCTGGTTTCATATCAGTTCAGTTCCAGACATTATGACCATTTAGGGAGTGAACTAGCAGATGAAAGATCTTTCTGATCCCCTTCTCTTTGTAAATCTAATCGACCTTTGTAATTAAAAAAGAAAGAGAGAGAGAGAGAGAGAGAAAGGAAAGGAGGAAGAAAGAAAAAAAAAAGAGAGATGACACAGCCCTGCTATCTTGCCTAGGAGCTAACTTAAAGGTATGTATATGGAGTCAGGACTATTCGGAGTATGCAAAAGTTACAAAGTTTTCTGCTAATTTCTCCATCTGACCCACATACTCTGTAAGCTTCGGAGTTCCCAGTTTAAACTAGGAAGTTTGTGTCAGAGACTTGAGCTTTATGAAACATCTCTGGAGAGGAGAATTTTTCATTTCCTTAGAACCAGTTCTCATTGTTTTTGTTTGTTTGTTTTGAGGCTTAACCCAGAAGGAAAAGCATTGCTAGATGTCCTGCCACCTGGATTTTAGTTGCACTCGCCACTGAGAAACTGTGTGATTGTGATAATAAAAACCCTCTATTTCAGCAATACTTTTATATTTTTTAATAGTCTGAGTATGTTCTCAAGTAATTCTTTTTCTAAAATAAATTTTCATTAGAGGAAACTCCCTGCTTTCTAGAGTCATGTCCTCCCCTCCCTCTCCTCCTTTCTTCTTTAATTCTGCCCTTTATTTCTTGTGAATGTAGGGTTGAGAAATGCCTAGAATTTCAGATTTTTTGGAAAATTTTATAGGCATATAATTAAACCTGCCCTTTATTGCCAATAATGGTCCTTCTACTGACATCCTTTATACTAAGTCATAGTTGTGGGGTACAAAGGATTTTGCCCGCTAAAGGGAAAAATATATACAAACATATTATACTGCAGCTTCTGCACAGAGCCTTGAGCTGTGGAATGGGATAACCCTCAAACATAAATCTTGGTGTGTGCTGTAAGGGAAGAACTAATAATGTACATGATTGGTGGTTGTGCTCAAGACCTGAAGCCAGTAGTTGCATGACCAGGTGCTCCTACAATATCCAAAAGTGGAAATGATGACACTATCCCAACTTCCAAATTAAGTTAGCTCATGGAAACTTGGTTGATTCCATAATTCTCTGAGTGTTCAGTTATGGTGGAGAAAAGAAATCGTTTTTAGAGAGTTTACTCTATTTCAAGATCAAGCCTCAGTCCCTGAAGGGATCTGGGTGCAGCTTGTGCCTCAGGCTGTTCACTTTGAAAAGTCTGTGGTGCTTTCATGATCTAGCACAGGACTGGTCATGCTACAGGTTCTTAGGGACTATTTGGTTATCTGTGAATGCAGTAGGGACAACTGCAGTTATTCCAGGATAATCCAAGATGGCTAGGTACTTCTGGAAATTACTTGCTGCCTATACTTACTTCCATTATTGTTAACAGAACCAACACTTCTCAAAGGAGACCAGTGGGGGCAACCAGATTATGTCATCACCTTCAGTTACATCAGAACTGGACAATAAGACCCAGAGTGAGAATCTGAAACAGGTACTTACTATCTCTGGCTTCACTCTCTACAACCACAATGGGCCATGAGGAGTTTGGACTCAGTTTTGTGATGCTGTGATAGCAGGTGTCTCCATTACCTGTTTGCCTGCCTAAGGTCTATGTAGAAAGCACTGCATGTTTGTGTCTTGGGGATCCAAAATACTGTCCTGCCTCCTTCACTCTCCTTTTTTCTCCTATGTGTCAGTCAATGGAGTAAATTCCTGTTCACATATTGAGAGACAAGGAATAACCACATTATCCTGAAACTGTGAAAAATAGCAGTCAGAGCAAGTTAAAGATGGATGGATGGCAGATTAATCAAGAGTGATAGCTGTTTTGAGCCACAGTAAATTCTAAGACTGTTGGAAGGCATATCCTTGAAAATCTGGATTTCCCTAAGTATGAAGACAAAAAGCAAGAGCTGGGGAAGGGATATTGAGTTCAGAATCTCCTTAAGAGAATAAAGGAGATCTTCCTGAAGAATTTCTGTCCTGAGTTTCATGCCATTTAAAACCCATAGTCATCATTCCTTTTTAAGAGCAATCAGTAGTAGTGGCTGTCAATAAAAATAATTGAATCTTGTACTAAATAATGCACTACTTGTTTTGGTTTTGTTACATGAGCCAATTGAGTAATTGGTATTGTTCCTAAGGTAGTTTTGGTCTGACAAATTAGGTTAATGGGCTTTCAGTTAATAACCCAGCAATCTTTCCCGCCAGCAGGTGGAGTAAACATTGGGAAATCAATTCTCAAGCTCTCAACTGGCTGGGACCAGAGAGTGAATCACATACACGTCCTCTCTGTTTAACAGTTCCAGAGGGAATAAACTAGGAACAATTTACAATGGGAGGGACAAAGCAGAGACAGGCGATTGATGATCAAAACCATGAAAAGAAGTTTACTTCAGTAACTTGACATACTGCTTGTTTGTTCAGTGCTGCTGGCTGCTTGTCTGATGTATCTCTTTAGCTGTATTCTACAACTTGATTTATTTCCACTCTAGGATATCCTGTACCTTCACAACTCTTTAGAGGAGGTAAACAGTGTCCTGGTGGGGTACCAGAGACAGAATGATCTTAAACTCGAAGGGATGAAAGAGACAGTCAGTAATCTTACCCAGAGAGTGAACCTGATAGAAAGCGATGTTGCTATGAGCAAGGTAGAAAGGAGAACGAACCTGTCCTTCAGCACGGTAAGCCTTTTCAGATCTCTTGTGATGTTTCTGTGTTGCAGTGTGTCTTGTCTGTACACAGATGGCACTCCACTACTGTCTCCCCGCTTATTGGAGAAGCTGTACCTTTGTGTGTTTTGCTGGTTGGGCTCCTCCCTTAGTCCTCATGCTAGCTCTGTGATGTGAATGGCACACGCAGTGTTAGTCCCAGTTTGGAAGTGGAGATATAGAGAAGTCAAGCTATTTACCAGGGCCTCACCAGAAGTACTTGGCAAAGATATAATATGCCTCTTGTTAGGTTACCAGTGATCCATCTGGTCCGAAGGCTCTGGTGTGTATTTCCAGAGGAGGAGTTTTTTACTGGGATAGGAGTGATGACTGAAACAAAAATTGTTCCTCCTTTAAAACTGAACTTGGCTTTCACATTTATCCTGCTTTTCTCTGCATATTAGGGGGAAACTTTTGCAGATAAAGTCAGGAAAGCCACTTAAACCAGATCAGGTCAGATCAGCTCCTCACCTTAAGAGGCTGCTTTCGTGTAAGGAAATTCAGTGACCTCCCAAGTCACTGATGCTGGCAGACCATGCATGCCCTTGTTCTCATGTTTCCATAAAGGAAATGCGGTCTTTTGTCATGTTTATATTGTGCTGGAGCCCACATGGCTTATGTTTTAATAAAACTACAGGTTCTACCTTTATATTTTCATGCAAGAAAGTATGGGCATATGTTTTTTTTTTTAAAAAAAAGGTGGAAACCAAATATAGGAAATTGTGCTATAAATTCAAGTAATTGCCAAAACTGAAAGCAAATCCACAAGTAAAATTGAACACTGGAACATGGAAAGCAGCATTTGAACTGGCTCTGCCATAGTAGAGCCTTAACAGGTTGCCTGGGCTTGGCTGTGAACAGTGAGTAGAAAGACCTGTTCCCCCTCTTGCCTTTCAGGAGTGTGTAATTTACTACAAAGCTGTGAAGATTAAAGGAGCTTTCTTTTAAAAGGCTCTTTTGAACTCAGATGAGTATGAGCTAGAAATTTTGGTTGATTTTATGAACATCATGCATTGAAGTTTTTCAAGGCTTATTGTGAGAAGTTATTACCCCCAAACTTCCACTACTGTCCCTGCTCTCCCCATTTTACTTCTCTGCAACAGGAAAAAAAATGGAATTAGTATCCATCTGCGCTACCATTCTTTCAACACCTTCATACCAGTCATGGATCTGGGTGAAAGCTCTGTTGCTTTTTATCCATAAAAGATTTTAAAGTTTGACAGACAATTAGAATCACTAGTTTCCCCCCCATCTCTCACTCTCACCTTCAACTTCTCCCACTTTTCTGCCATTTTTACTAAAAGTTTTCTGAAATCATTTAAATATTTTGACCACTTTGACAGTTGCTAAATGTTCATGTTTGCCTCTAATTTTCTCGGTATTCTTTCTGTCCTTTAAGATGGATGATAGAGCTGCCACTCTGAAAAGAGAATCTTTTGATCAAGTGACCAACAGAACAGAACCATTAGAAACCCAAAACAAAAAGGTAAATAATTAGAGGTTTACCCTGAAATAAAAATAAAAGCATCAGTATCTGTGCTTTTAATCTGCTGCTGCTTTCAACACTTGGAGCACCTCAGGAGCACTTCAACCTTGGATGTAGAAGCTTCATGACAATGCATTTAATACGTTTTTGAACAAGTGAATGCTTTATCAGGCAATATACTATACTAAGCACTTTGATAACATCTGGGGTGACCACAGTGGACTGGACACACATGGTACCCTTATTTTGATAGAACTCACATCCATTGGTAAGAAAATCATTAATGCATAGTGAAACAGATAATTAATAGCAAGTATAAATACTACAAAGGAACAGTATAGGACGTAATGAGACTGTTAACCAATTAGGATGGCTTTCCTAAGGAGATTTTTTTTTTTTTCATTGGAAAGGCGGATATACAGAGAGGAGAGACAGAAAGGAAGATCTTCCATCCGATGATTCACTCCCCAAGTGAGTGCAACGGTCGGGTGCAGGGTCCCAAAGCTTTGGGCCGTCCTCAACTGCTTTCCCAGGCCACAGGCAGGGAGCTGGAAGGGAAGCGGGGCTGCCGGGATTAGAACCGGCGCCCATATGGGATCCCGGGCGTGTTGAAGGCGAGGACCTTAACCACTGCGCCACCGCGCCGGGCCCATCGTAAGGAAATTTTTAAGCTTAGACTGTAACTTACCTATGTTAATGATGGAGAACAGAGGCACAGATAATGTGGGGAAAAAAGGGTTCCAGCTTAGAAATTATTTGATATTTTTATTGCAATCTTAACACATTTACAGTTTATTTAAGCTTTTGCTGGTCCTCTTCACCTTGTGTCTTTCGCCTTTTCCTTCTTCTCAAACATATTATCAAGCAAGAGGAGAAATCTGATATGCTATCATTCTACAGGAAAGAAAGTTTAGTAGCAGCACAGAGTTTTATATTTTAAGTCCTGGGCTTAGATTAAGGAAAAATTGGGAAGACTGTGGCTGAGTAATTAAAATATCTGAGATGTGACATTTGAGAAGTTCAGAAGAGCTGAACGTCAGAGTAAATAAGCTTAGATTGGAGCCATAGTAGAGGCAGTGTTTGATTTAGTACTTCCATCTTTATTTTGTCATCCTTATCAATTTTGTGTTGTCTAAATAAAGTCATATATATTAGGATTTTAATGTAGCAAAAACTAGGCTTTTGTTTAGGTTTTCTAACTGCTCCTGCATATTTTTTTTTAAACCTAAACCTGGAGAATAATAAGAGAAATGCAAGAGCCAGCTATAAGTGTTAAATGCAAAAAAGTAACTGGCGGTTACTATGAGAAAGCAGTGACCTCAACAGTTCAGACTTTACTAGTAAATTTCAGAACACAATACCCATGCATACTTTTCCTGAATGTTTTGACTCGACTTTGCTTTTATTTTAATTATCATACCAGTATACCAATCCCTCTGTCCTACCTCATCTAAGCATCCAATTTCTCTTCACCATTCATTCTACAACTGTTTAGCACCTAGTTTTGTTACCTATGTCTATATCTTAGCTCTCTAAGTAAACCAAGGCTGACCTACTGTACAGCAGCTCTTAGGGTAAAATAAATATGAGCAGGGGTGGCATTGTGGCATAGTGAGTAAAGCCACTGTCTGTGACACTAGTATATTGTATGGGCACTGGTTCATGGCCCGGCTGCTCCACTTCCAATCCAGTTCCCTGCTAATCGCCTGGGAAAAGCAGCAAAATATGGCCCACATGCCCACGCCTACCCATGTGTGAGACCTGAGTAAAGCTGGCTGCACGCTAGCCCAGCACTAGCCTATGTCACTGTCTGGGAAGGGGACTAGCAATACAAGAGCTTACTCTTTCTGTCTTGTGCTCTCTCTGTGCCCCTTCCACTTCCCTCCTTCTCTCCCTGTCTATAATAACTAACTTTCTAAATAAATCAAAAGATGAGAGGTAAATAAATAGAAACAGTAAGAGATCTGTGATGATGAGTTGTTCTAATAAGCATAGTATCAGAACTTCCCACTTTAACCTAAGCAATGAGAAACCAGTCTCACAGAAAACAGATTTCTCTCTTGTTGTAATTAAATCTATTTTCATGTATCGTTCTAACCATTTGAAAATGAAGCAGGATATGGAGAAAAAAAGCTTTTTAAAAGATATGACTTCAAATTATAAATACTATAGTTCATGTTGCATGTTCCTAACAGTTCTGACTACCATGGAGCCCAGAGAGAACTGTGGGGATAGTTGTTGTTGGTTTTTGTTCAGCTGTCTTGTATATGCATATATGGTTTTTCTGTTTTGTTTCATTTTGCTTTGAGGTTAAAAGCACATAAAACTGCCTAACGTGGTCTAATCACAAGGTGATATGGATAGTCAGAAAAGTGATTTAGTTTATGTGAAATAGCTCCTAGAAAACTGTATCCTGTTCATTTTAGGAAATGGGTGTCGCATAGGCACCTGAGCAGGGTTACATTTCCGTTACTGCTGACATACGCATGCCTTGCCCCATCAGGCAAATGTTCACAGTGAATCAGATCGTCAGTAGCCTAATGTTCCCTTAATGGTCTGCCCTCAAATCCAACTAGACACTCATCAACACTGAGAACCAAAGATTTAAATGTAGTATTTGTTGATTCCTCCATTGCCTGTATAGGGAAAGTACTGAGGTTAAGTACCAGATGCTAATAGGCATGTAGTCTGTGAAGACTCAAGTGAGGTCTCATTTCCATCTTAATCTTCTGTGCTCTTTGTTTTGGGCAGAAAGAAGATAACTCAAATTCTCAGGTATCCAAGCTAAAGGAGAAACTGCAGCTGATTAGTGCCCTCGCAAACAAACCTGAGAGCAACAGGCCTCCAGAGAACACTGAGGAAGGTAAGAGCAGGGCCAGCTTCTGAATATTTCACGCAGGCCTGGGCAGCCTGCCTCCCTCACAGGGAGTGAGAAGGTGTTGCAGCAGTGTTGATCGAACGAGTGAGAGATGCCTGAGTGCACCCAGATGAAGCTGACACACTTTGCTTTCATTTGGAAAAAGCCCATTTTGTACATGATTTGTACTGTAGTCTATTAAAGGAAGAATGGGTAATATTTAGCTGGAAATAGACTTCTCCATGCTGCCTGCATCCAATTATAGACAAAACGTTACTGCTGTAGCATACATTACACTAAACCTTAATGTTGTTTATGGGAGCCTTCATTTCTGTAATTGCATTAAATTTACTTAAAAATAAATTTTAGTCCTCCTGAAAATCGCTAACAAATACTGATGGGATTATTGGGTTAGGAGAGCCCTTGGCTTTAGGTGGGGGCATACCTGATCAATATTAACACATGCATCAGTTTCCACAGACTTAAGCTCTACAAGGACATAGCCAAAACCCTGGACTGTGTGAGCTTTGACTCCTCCACAACAACAAGTTTTCCATTTCAGAAAAGCACTGATATTTCCCTTGATTTTTTTGTTTTGTCTTTATTTATTTGAGAGACAAAGAGAGATAAACTCAAGTGCTCCTATCTACTGGTTCACACTCCAAATATCTGCAATGACTTGTACTGGGCCAGCCAAAGCTGGGAGCCTGGAACTAAACCCAAGTGTCCTATTTGGGTGGTGGGAACCCAATTACCTGGACCATTATCACCACCTCCCAGGGTCTACAGGAGGAAGCGGGAGCCAAGGAGCACAGCCAGGTACTCTGATAGGGACACAAGTACCTGAAGCTCTAGGCTAAATGCCTACTTTCTTGAAATTTCTTTTTAGTAGGAGACAGAACTGTGGTAAGAGGCCTTGTTCCAATGTTATCCTATATAATCTTAAAGTAGCCCACGTGGCACCAGCTTGGATAATAGCATGTTCCCCTAGAGCAGGCCTACAGCAGGTCTTCAGGATGTCGAAAAGCTTTAATATACAACAACTATTTGTTGTCTCCTGGCAGCCTAACATCTAAACATGCATTATGGGGGCAGGCATTCTACCTACTGGTTAAGACTGGTGGGGAGACCTGCATTCTGTTAGAGTTCCTAAGTTTGAGTTAGCTCCACCCTTAATTCTAGCTTTCTGTAAATGTGTACCCTGCTAGGCAGCAGGTCACCAGTGATTCAAGTAGCTTGGTTCCTGCCACCCTCGTGGGATAACTGGGAGGGTGGCATAACTGGGTTGAGTTCAGCCCAGCCTGTTTTGGCATCTAGGAGTGAACCAGTGAATGAAAGGTGTGTGTATATGTATCTATCTGTGTATCAAAATATTTCTTATTTTAATGAATTTAAATATATATAATTTGTGCTATAGTATCTGCTAATTCAACTGTTGACTCAAATCTTAATTTCATAGAATACTGCCTAATTTTCACTTGTCCATTAATATAATTGAGCCCAAGCCTTTATATTCAGTCACTGTGATACTTAATTCTCAACTATTTATTTTAAATATATAGGTAAATACCCTAAAAAATAATCTCTAAAGCTAGTTTAATTTGGCATCTGATAATACTAAAACCTTATGTGTTTATTACAGAGCAAATTCAGAATTCCACATCAAAGTCATCAGCATTGCCAAAATCTTCACAGTCTTCAGGAGACCGAATTGAGAAAGCTGCCCAACCAAGATCTGTCTTCCTGCCAGGAGTTTCTAGCGTTGAAGGTAAACTTTTGTGTTATCAGAATGTAATGTCAGAATTATTAAAGTAATAACTTTTTTTTAAAAGATTTATTTATTTTTATTGCAAAGTCAGATATATGCATAGAGGAGGAGAGACAGAAATATCTTCCGTCGATGATTCACTCCCCCAAGTGACTGGAACAGCCAGCACTGTGCCGATCTGAAGCCAGAAGCCAGGAACCTCTACTCGGCCTCCCGCGCAGGTGCAGGGTCCAAAGGCCTTGGGCTGTCCTCAGCTGCATTCCTGGAATATTTGTTCCTGTCCCCCCACCTTGATCTGTTTGGCTGATCACGTTAATTTAAATACCGTTGCACCAGGAAACATTTACTTATCTCCCAGGACTGCACTGGGTTCCTTCTCGTGCTCTTTAACATTTTGTGTTTGCCTGTGTTTAGTACGTGTCAGTTTCTTCTAATTTCCTGCGTATATAAAAAATTTAACTCTTGCATGCATAGCATAGTGCCTTGATAATATGTGACTGTTAAATATGTGATTAAGTGTTCCGCATGCTGCAATTGTTGCTTAAAGCATAAGGGACTAAAAGACTTGGGCCCAGCGTGATAGCCTAGCGGCTAAAGTCCTCACCTTGAATGAACCGGGATCCAATATGGGCATCAGTTCTAATCCTGGCAGCCCTGCTTCCCATCCAGCTCCCTGCCTGTGGCCTGGGAAAGCAGTCGAGGATGGCCCAAAGCTTTGGGGCCCTACACTTGCACGAGAGACCCAGAAGAGCTCCTAGCTTCAGATTGGCTCAGTTCCAGCCATTGCAGTCACTTGGGGAGTGAACCATCAACCAGAAGATCTTCCTCTCTATCTCTCCTCCTCTCTGTATATCCACGTTTCCAATAACAATAAATAAATCTTTAAAAAAAGAGAGACTTAAACATTTATATCACAATTGAAATACAATTACTTTAGGCCTGGTGCAATAACTCAGTGGCTAAATCCTCATCTTGCATTTGCTGGGATCCCATATGAGCAGTTCATGTCCGGCTGTTCCACTTCCCTTCCAGCTCCCTGCTTATGGTCTGGAAAAGCAGTAGAGAATGGCTCAAAGTGCTGACCCCCTGCACCTGGGTGGGAGCCCGGAAGAAGCTCCTGCCTCCCGGCTCAGTTCTGGCTGTTGCAGCCACCTGGAGAGAGAACCAGAGGTGGATGATCTCTCTCTCTCTCTCACTGTATCTCCTTTTCTCTGTAAATCTGCCTTTCTGGTAAAATAATAATAATAGGTAAGTCTTTAAAAAACAAAAAGGAAAAAGGAATAAAAATAAATGCAGTTACTTTTTTTCCACTCTCCCTGTGTTAGATTGCATTTAATGGCTACACAGGTTGCCCCCTCTGCATTATTTTTTTTTTTTTTAAGATTTAGTTGTTTTTACAAGACAGGCAGATTTACAGAGAGAAGGAAAGACAGAGAAAGAAAGGTGTTCCATTAGTTGATTAACTCCCCAAATGGTCACAACAGCTGCTGCTAAGCCAGGAGCTTATTCTAGGTCTCCCATACAGGTTCAAGTGCAGCATCCTAGAAAGAAACTGGCACCTCTGGGATGCTGGTGCTGGCAGGCAGAGGATTGGCCATTGAACATTTGCACCAGCCCCACCCCCTCTGCATTAGTATATTAAGAATTGATGAGGATGAATGGGGAAAGACTGTTAGGCCACTTCTGAATGTACCTACTTTTGAAATGATCTGAAAATACAGTCGTTTTTATTTGAATATAACTGCCAACTGCATAGCATGTTGTATAAATTCATGTCTCCGCCCATAAAATGTTTTCAGCTACCTACTTGGTGTTGCCTAGAAAAAATATCCTCCTGCCTTTCTGGCTTCCAGAGATTTCTTGAGGTTTATTAGTGGCATCACTAGGCCTGTCATCGTGATGAGAGTGGACCCTGTTTGAAGCTTGTCCACTAGAACAACTCGATCGACTGGCCTTGGTACCACAACTGTTGTCTCCCTCCTCCTTTTCTTTCATCCTTATTTTTTCTGACTACCAAACAAGAGGCTTGTTGAATTCAGGTGTGACATTGAAGATAGGAAAGAAATCTAGGAAGATATTTAGAAAGACTTCAGTCTCATGACTGCCTTTGGTATTAGAAATTAAATCTTATATCTTTTGTTGATTATGGGAAAACATACAGGACTTTTTAAAATATTACATGTTAATGAGCCTGCCTAAGTGTTCATTTGGGACCTTTAAGAAATATAAAAGACTCCTGGGCCTGGTGCAGTGGCCTAGTGGCTAAAGTCCTCGCCTTGAATGCGCCAGGATCCCATACAGGCGCTGGTTCTAATCCCAGCAGCTCCACTTTCCATCCAGCTCCCTGCTTGTGGCCTGGGAAAGCAGTCGAAGATGGCCCAAAGCCTTGGGACCCTGCACCTGCAAAGCCTTGGGACCCTGCACCCACATGGGAGACCTGGAGGAAGTTCCTGGCTCCTGGCTTCAGATCGGCGCAGCACTGGCCTTTGCAGTCACTTGGGGAGTGAGTCATCGGATGGAAGATCTTCCTCTCTGTCTCTTCTCCTCTCTGTATATCTCTGACTTTCGCATAAAAATGAATAAATCTTTTAAAAAAGAATAAAGAAAATATGAAGGACTCTTGGTAGAAATTCTCCAGTCTTATTGGTTGTAATAGTACCTTCAAAATTTAAAAGATACAGGTCAACTCATGATATTTCTCTCTCTCTTCTTTACAGAAAAATAAATATATATGTGTATAAACATACATATATATATATATATATATATATACATAGGGGAAAAAAAAGAAAAAGCATTTTAAAGAGATGCCTAGGCCTTTGGGTATTTTTTAAAATGAGATATAATTCACATACCGTAACATAAACCCTTTTAAAATCTGTAATTCACTGGTTTATTATATTCACAAGGCAGTAACCATTACCACTGTCTAATCCTAGAAAATTTTCATCTCCCGAAAAGAAAACATGGTATACATTAAACAGTCATTTCCAGCCTCTAGCAACCATTAATCTTTAGCCACTATCCATAAGGATTTGCTTGTTCAGAGTATTTCATATTAGTGAAATCATCCAGCATGTAGCCTTGATTAATTCTTCTTTCTTTCAGTTTGCTTCTTCCGTTTAGCATGTTTTCATGGTCTGTTTGTTATGACATTTATCAGTACTTCATTCCTTTTTATGGCTAAATAATATTCCATTGTGTGCACACACTGCATTTTGTTTATCTGGTTCTCACTTGATGGAACTATAGGGTGTTTCTAGGTTTTGGCTGTTAGGGTAGTGCTGCTGTGAATGTGTGCAGGTTTTTATGTACACACATTTTCATTTTCTTCACTATACACCTAGAATGCTCGTTCATTCGATAACTTCTTTTTGAGGAACTGCACAACTGTTTTCCAAAGTGACTCAAACAAATGTTCCTCTCCCATCAGCAGTGTATGAGGGCTCAGTCCACTTTCCCCACATTCTCACTACCACTTTCCAGCCATCCTGCTGATTATGAAGTGGTATCTCATTGTGGTTTTCAGCCCCTGGTTCTCAAGTTTGCTAATTTCTGGATCTGGAGAGCCAATGTCATGTAGTAGAAAGAGCACCAGGTTAGGCGATAGTTTGTGCTGTGGTCATTTAACACTAAATAACTCTAAACAAGTGAATTGCCTTTCTGAGGTTTGGTTTTTCCCATCAGAGCTGAGAAAGCTTTGAGTATTTGGGATTGTTGCTTTTTGAAAAGATTTATTTAGTTATTTGAAAGTTAGAGTTACAGAAAGTGAGAGGGACAGAGTTCAATTTTCCACCCACTGATTCAGGTACCTAAATAGCTGCCAGCCCTGGGATTTTTGCTCGTTAAAGACTTTGAAAGCATTCTCCCAATCCCCACTCAGCCATCCAACAAGAAGTCTCAGAGGCAGCCCAGCTAGCTTTTATCAAGTAGATCTTTAGGCCTCTGCATTGCCATTTACTCTTTCAGCTTAAGTCTGGAAAATTTGAAGAGAAGTCCCTGACTAGAGAGCCAGCTAGTTCATTCCCATAGAATCCTCTTGTTCTTTTTTTTTTTTTTTTTAAGATTTATTTATTCTTATTGGAAAGGCATATTTACAGAGAGAGGGAGAGACAGAGAGAGAGATCTTCCATCTGCTGGTTCATTCTCCAAGGGGCCACAACAGCAAGAGCTGAGCTTATCTGAAGCCAGGGGCTTCTTCCAGGTTCCCCACACAGGTGCGGAGTACCAAGGCTTTGAGCTATCCTTGACTGCTTTCCCAGCCCACAAGCAGAGATGGGAAGTGGAGTGATCAGGACATAAACCGGCACCCATATTGGATCCAGCACATGCAAGGCAAGGATTTAGTCACTAGCCTAAATCAGCCCAGAATCTTCCCATTCTTAAAAGATCATGACTTAGTAACAATGTCAGCTGTACCTTTTGGGGGGAAAAAGTCTGCAAGGTAGCTTTTCTTTTAGTGTTTTTGATGGAGGCTACTTTTAACTAAAGTTAACTGTATTTTTTTATAATTCCTTTTTGACAGATCTTCAAGATTTATTCCACAAGATTGGCCAGGATGAGGATGGGAAGCTGACCTACCAGGAAATAGCCCAGGCCCTGGGTTCTGCCACACCAGAACCAGAGTCCTTGAGAACGCTGGACTCTGATGGAGATGGGAGATACTCATTTCTGGAGCTAACAGCGGCTGTAGATGTCTAGCCTCAAAATGGAGATACACCCTGGACTACCGAAAGTCTGTTTACCTAACAGAAATAACCCTTTGACTTATCCATCACTCCTCCAGACTACTGTAGCAGACACTTTGCCTCCTTTTAACTTGTTTGAAGAAGCTATATAAAAGTTATTTTTTTAAAAAAGAGACCATTTTACTTATACAATGATGTTAAGAACTCTATGATTTCCTGAAGCCAGTGAGATCTTACATTTTTAGATTTCCAGAAAAAAGAAATAAAACCCTAATTTTTTCTCTTTACTTTTTGAAACTGGGAAATGTATATAGAGAGAGTAAGCCACCTTTTTTATATTTCACATAAATTTGCCTTAAATTAGCTGCACTTTATAGGAACTCAGAAAAGGTCTTTCTTTTAAAAGTTAGGCCTTTTGTGTTTGTTAAATATTTAAAGCGGAAGGAAGAATTGTGCATATTTTGTGCAAAGTAGAAAGAATGACTTTGAGCAAATGATTTGGTGATTAAAGATTGCTTATCTCCTCTGGGTAGCAGCTGAGGCTGTATCCAAGTCTCCTTAAAGCACCCCGTGGTGCTGCATGGAGCTGACAGCCAGGGAGTGGAATCAGGGAGTGGACAGTGGGAACAGTGCTGGCTCCAGGCTCAGGAAAGAAGGATTCTGATTTCTTTGTTCCCTCAGCTAATCCCAACTTGGAAACCAGAAAACTCTTGGAACTGAGAAGAGTTCTTATGTTTAATCCTATCTTAGATTTATAAACCTAAGAAGTTACTCAGTGGGAATTGGCTGATTCCCCCAGGATGAACTGGATTGTATTCCTCCAGCTACCCACTGCAGTGTGTTGAGAGTTCCCCGTTCCATTCGGAATGGCAACACTGAAGTCCCCTGGCCACTGACAGAGAATGGCCACCCAGAGCTTGAGAAGATAGATATGCCTTTCGTTTGGACAAGGAAACTACATACCCCTCCAGAGTTTTACTGAGAGCTAAGCAAGAAACTGATGTATTTCTCTGTAGGATGGCTAAAGCCAAAACGGTTGTGAAATGAAACGTGTGAAATTATATTCCATTTCCTTAAAATTATCAGCTCAGAAGTAGCTAGAGGCTTTCTGTCTGGAGGATGCCCACAGCAGGAACCTTCACATGATGGTAGCAAGTCCTTTTCAAATCTAATCCCAGCAAGCATGATGCTTCGCCCTTTAAATACTTCTGTGGACCTGGCACAGAGGTCTCTGGACCCACAGGAATACTACTCCCATGTCATCTGCATGTTGCATCTGGATTTTTTGGGTTCTAAAAGCAATTTAGAGGCAACACAAAAAAGGGGAAAACAAACTGAAACTGTCCATATTGCTATCAGCCAACTGATGGAGAAAAATAGGGAAGCTTTCATGGCACCAAATTTTTCAGTAGAGATGGATTCTACTGTCACTGTCCAAGTTGCTGTATCAGCCTTGTAGGCAAAACTAGTCCCCTTGAGCTTTAAGGGCTGGGTTTTGGTTTTGGTTTTTTAGTGTTCAGCTTGGTGTTGGCCAACCATACATTTTTTTTTTTCTAAAGGTGTTAAAATCAAATCTAGCTACAACAAAGTGAAGTCTTTCCTGCAGACATGTCTCGCTTTTCTCATGGCATAGACATCTCCTTTTTCTTTGTTTCCCAATTTCTTTTTTCCTTAACATTTCCCTTGCCTATTTGCGCTATTTCACTTTCTCAGAAGGGTTGAAATATAATATAAAATTATCCTGGCACTTTAGGTAACTTGAAGATAATTCGTATTCTTCTGGCTGCCTTCTCTTAGTCCCTCCCATTTTTAATATATACACCTTTACCTATTTTGTAACAACCAAATAAAATTCTAGCAATAAATTATACTTCTGTATTTGTATATACTGTACCATAAATAGTATGTCTGTACCTGGAAAGGTTTTTTTTTTTTTTTGAGAACTGATTTATATGAAATATACTGAGGGTAATGTAGCTTGTCTTTTTTTAGTTTCAAATTCTTATTCACTGGCAGATACATTCGGGACCCCTTAACTCTTTCTTGTATGTGCATTTCTTTTGTATCACAACACAGTGTAAGTGGAGAAGTCCATTTTGTTTTTTAGTTTATCTTCTGTCCTTCACACTGCCAGCATGGTGACCAGCCTCATCCCTGAGCCAGTGTGTGGGACCATCCCTGTCCCACGCCTGGCAGAGCAAGGGACTGGTGCTGCTGTCTCAACCTCATCAGTCCCCTGTGCTCTACTGCTGCCTAAGGAGCTGCCTCATCTCCCAGGCAGAAGGCTGGGTTCTGACTCTGTTACTCTAAGTTGAAGCTCACCAGCCCGAGCCAGAGAACCCATAAGCCTATTGCATGTTAATTTGGGGGTTCTGTTCATATGCTGTCTTCCCTTGGCCTGTGATGTACTTTGAGGTATAGACAAACCAGCTATGCCACAGTTCAGCTGTGATGGGAAGCTTGGGGAATGGCAAGTTGGGTTTCAGTTTTGATTTTGCTTTTTAATCCATCCACCTCTTCCAACTGTCAATCCCCTTCCTTTTGTCCTAAGTTACCCACATCACTGCTTGCTGGTCCTGTTTCCTTTGTGCCTTGTACTATTTGCTATACTGTGTATGCAAAGAGCCTCCCCATCAATCCCAGAGGCAAAAAAAGGTCACGTAGAGAGAACCACCAAAAGCCTGCTTTGGAAATGACTCCGGTGTCATCCAAAGGGCACAGAGGTGCCAGGCAAGCAGGGATGTGTTTAATGCAGCCAAGTGGAAGAGGTTGGCTTCATCTGCTGCTGGCCGTTTGCCCTTCCATCTGAGTTCCTTCCTTTACAGTTGCTGGACAGAACGTCTAGCTCCTTACCATGCTGCACCCACTGATCACAGTTGAGGGCTCCTACACATAATGGCCTGTTGTTTTCAGTGACAGTTTGTTTGCTACACACCTCATTGGCTTGCTTACCATCATCATCTAGATATGGTCTCTTCTTTCATATCCAAGGCAGAACACATTTGGGTATCCCGGAGACTTTGTAGAGCGTGGATTGTTTCTTATATGAACCTAACCTACCTTGTTATTTTCTCATATTAAGAAATGTAAGTCTACTTTGTTTTCAATGGGGGCTGTTTTGGTAATGTGTCTGTAATTTTGGTTGTTTAGGAAGTAAATTCAAGGTTTCCATGATTTGATTTGAGCTTTACTTATTTTGAACCAGTAGTTCATCCATTTTAATTTATCTAAATAAAGCATTTCTTTTTTTCTCTCTGTGTGTCTGACTTAAGACTTCCCCCAAACCACCTCCATTACTAAAAAAAGAAGAAAAAAAAATCTATACTTTAGTCTTGTTTTTATGGATTCTGTCCTTTTCAAAGCAAGGACTAGTCTGCAGTCCTGACAACAGTAGTGCTCCACAGAGAGAACTTGCACCAGCTGCTGGCTGTTTACTTCCCCCTTAGGATCTTCCCCTTCTCTCCTCCACCCCAATAGGGCTATACATGAAGCTTAAAACTCAGGTCATCTTCAAACACTGTGAGAGGATTTACCCATTTCCAACATGAAAGGGAAGAATGTACATCCTGGGATACCTGCGCTCCCTTAAACTGGGATCAGATAACCAGTATTTTCTTATTCTCTTAAGACTTTACAAAAATAACTAGTATTCCTATGCAGTGAGTCAACTTTTGAGGGCCCATGCATAGATTCCTTAAGATGGATAATGGGTTTCCAGTAAGTTCATGGAAAATGCATAATATGAAAAAACTACATAGGTTTTAATTTTTTTGCCCCAAAATAAATACCAAAAGATGCTTTTCCATGGATTTTTGCAGCACCTTCATATAATTAATGGATAATTCTATTTTTGTGTATATTCATAGAGGGTTCAAAGACCGCCCTTTCTCCAATCCATGGACCAATGAATAGCGCCCTAAACATGGTAAAGCATTCCCCCGGATATTCTAGCAAGATGTTGGGGGAGGCAGCTGTGGGTAAGAGAACTAACATAAAATAGATATTTGTTATGCTCTCTTGGAATCTGTCTCTTCATTGGTAAGAAGAAGCTTGTGATAGCCATTTGGTGGATTTCTGGGGTTAGAAATCATGTATAGAGACAACCTTGTGAGAATTCCACACATCATGGAACAATACAACTCAACCCATAGTGCAGTGTGGCTCATAAGTCTCATGGAGTCTTGTCTACCTGTAACGTAGTCATTGTGCATTGCCACACTTTGTGTCCCCTCCATAGCCCATAAGGTGGCAGTGCCTTTGGACATCAAGCCAGAACTGGTCACACGCTTTGGTCATCAATAAATACTGTGTGGAACAATACTGAATACACCTATAAGTGCTGGTTCTGTGTCTCCTCACAGGCAACCTGCAGTTTCAACTCATACTCATGAAGCTCGTTTACTAAGTTGTTTTGCAGTGTGCTCTAATCAAACGGGGGGAAAACATTGCTCTTCAATCACAAAAAGACATAAGGGAGCCTTGAACATTTATTTCAGTCTTTCACAGGTGAACCCTGGCCTTTTGTATCCATTGTCTCCATTGCCTATTATAACTGCAGCTCCCACCTTCCATAAGAGGAGGCTACAATTCTGAAGCAAAAGACTTGGCATTAAAGCGGTGGTCTCCATGGGCTAGTGTGGGGAGGGAATGGAAGCGTTCATTTATCTCTGGGCAGCTGGCCAAGGGGTAGGAGACAGAGTGGTTCACCATGGGAGGAAGATTGCAGAGTGATAAGGCAAAGGGAATCTCCTGAAAGATGGGAATTGGAACAGATGAGCTTGCCTGGGGTCGCGGTACTGGTGAAGGTATGGACTGCTGTGGAACCACTAGTGTTGGCTGCAGGGGACCAGGTGCCTCCACCTTGGAGCTACTGCTTTGGGCAGCATTGCCCCTTCCTTCAGAGACATTCACCTCCCACAGAGGATCTGGATTCTGAACACCAGCCTCAGTGTTGCCAACAACAGGAGGAGGTCCAGTGTTGATGGCTGCGTTCATGCCATAGTGTCGGCGTTTGTTAATCCAGTACAACAAAGGGCTGTAGGTGAATGTGGCGGCTCGCATCACCTCCAACCACTGCTGGGCACGCTCTTCCCGCCTCAAATTCTTCTTCCAATGCAGAAAGAGAATGCAGCTGCCGACTGCCACAGAACACAGTCCCAGGAATCCAAAGTACAGTGAGATCCACACTAAGGCAAGAAAAAAGAAAGGCAGATGGCCTTAACCTAGGGCATGAGTTGTTTCTCATTCTTCTCCTTGCTTTAATCCATTCACTTTATTCACATAACTATTTAAGCTCTATTCCCTGCCTTCCTCCTTACCAACTTGCCTCACCATTCTCCCATTTAGCTAAAGGTAGATTCCCAGGGAGCTTAAGAGGCTGTCTTTAGTCTTCTGCAGAAAAAGGGGTTACAGAGGGCATGACCCACCCAGCTCATTCATACTGATGGTTTCCAGACCAAGACCTATCCAATCCACCAGCCTCCCTAAGGGCAAGGTCATCGAAGCAGTAAAAGGTCAGCAGCTGCCAGAAATATTAGTGTCCCATCCACAGCAGCTCCTCTGGTTAAGTAGAATTGTGACCTCTGCCTTCAAGAATTCCTTAGTTTTCTAGATAGACTTAGGTCTATCTCCTAAGTGATGAGCACACTTCCACACAGGCCACCATCCCTATCCAAGCAGATTGTTCACTGCCTGTCTACCCGCAACCCCCGTCACTCAAGTCCAAGGGGTAGGCACGGATAGGAAGAGTATGTACCACCAGAGAGGCTCGGGCCATCCTCTTGGAAATCCATAAGGTTGAACCTCAGTACCCTGTAGATGGCTCTGAGGAGAGAGAACTCATTCATTCATCTGTCCATCCAATTGGAGTCCCCAGAATAGCCAGGCCCCATTGTTCCCTAAAGGAGAGGTCACTGGGTTCTGAGTACTGGACATTCCATGGGTAATGCTTATGAAGTGATCCCCAGTTGGTGGGAATGATGCATCATAGGCACCATTAATGTGCCTATTAATTCTATCAAATATTGATCCACTGGGTAAATCGTCACCTCCACTCCTTGTAGTGAGCCCTCAAAGCAGCTCACGGGAAACACCCTCTCTCTCTCAGGCACTTGTCTGTGTAGTGGGTCTTTATGGGATAGTTAATGGATATCTGCCCCCAGTGGAGGGAGAGTTGGGGCAGGAAGTTCACAAAACACGAAGGAGCCTTTTTCTCAAGAAATCTCTGGACAGAGCAAGTATTGAGGTACAGCAGTTAAGATAGCACTTGGGATACCCACATCCCACATCAGAGTGCCTGGTTCAAGTTCACTCTGCTTCTGATCTAGCTTCCTATTAATGCATACCCTGGGAGACCACAAATGATGGATTAAATATTTGGGTCCCTACCATCTACATGGGAGACAGGGATGGCGTTTCAGGCTCTTGGCTTTGGCCAGCCATGGCCTTATGAAGAATGGACTACCACACGAAAGATGTTCTCTCTCTCTTTCCCTCCCTCCCTCTCCCATCTCTCTCTCCCTCCCTCTCCTCCTTCTCCTCCCTCTCCTCTCTCTCCTGTCTCTTCTCTCTCTCCCCCCTTTCTTTCTCTCTCTCCTTTCCATTCTCCCTTCATTCCTCCCTCCCTCCTTCCCTTCCTCTTTCTCCCCCCTCGCCCCTTTCTCTTCCTTTCCCTATTTCAAAATAAGACTTTAATAAAAGACATTTCTGACCAGCTATCAAGAGAAGACATGCCCCATGGAATCAGCCAGTCAACACCTGCTATAACGTTGCTTCTGTTCCACTGATTCCCTTCAGTAACGGAACACGTCCCCTAGCCAATGTCCTGAGAGATGGGGGGGGGGGTGCTCCTCACTATCACACCCCTCCCATCCCTCATACTACTTTCCCTTACAGCCATGTCAGTCTCCCTAAAACACTGCCTGCCAATCTCTCCAGAGTTTTGTCCACATGGCCCCTTCATCCAGAAGCATCACTCCCCATTTTGCTGCCATTGAACACCTGACCTGCTTATCCTCCAAGGCCCTCCCACTGTATGACAAACAACGCTTCAGTCTCTGTCTCATAATCACATCACCTCCAGTTCGAAGGATCTTGAGATTTGTCTAGTCCTACTCCCATTAGATGCTGAGTCCTGGGAGTGAATCTTCCCTACCCAGTAACTGACACTACCCCCCTACAACCCAGGACTCACCCAAGTCAGGGACTTGCTCACTTCCTCCTGAGGCACCTTGATCTACTTAAGAGCAACTCAGTTAGAAAGCACTTACATAATTCAGCCAAAACTCAAGTGACCTTCCCAGTAGGTCAGCATTGGCCCTAGCTCAATTCCTTGGGACCAGTTAATTACTTCTCTCTTTGTAGCCCCCCACTGCATATTTAGGGAGCTATTTGACACAGTTTCCTCCCTGGTCTGTCACCTTTTGGCACTCCCTACTACATTTTGGTCTCCTTTGCTGGTTTCTCTTTTCTCTGACCTCTAAATGTTAGCATGCACTAGGGCTCGGTTGTTACTTGACACTATCTGCATGCACTCTCCCATGATCTCATTCAGACTCATGGCTTTAAATACATGAACCAACAATTCACAACTTTGTATCTCCCTCCTAGAATACAATCTCAGCATTTTAGATTCAGATACCCAACAGCTGGGTTGACATCCCTCCTTGCCAGTCTATAAACTTGTCTCCGTATCATGTCTAAAACTAAACTCCTGACCATCCATCCTCCAAAACCCACTCCACTTTCTACCTTCTTCCTCGCTGTAAATACTGTTCTGCTTCTTCAGACCCAAAGCCAGGATCCAGGAACTCCATCAGGGTTTCCCACTTAAGTGGCAGAGATCCAAGCATTAGAACCATCTTCTGTTGCCTACTCAGTGCATTAGCAGGAAGCTGGATCAGAAGCAAAGTAGCCTGACCTCAAACTGGCACTCCAAAATAGGGTGTCAAATCGCAGCTGTTACTGCCAGCTGAAGCTTAACTTGCTGCGTCATGACACTGGCCCCTTTCTTTGTCACTTTAGTTCAGGAACCATCATCTTTCATTTGGGTTTCTGGCCTTCCCATAGGGTGAACAATCATCCCCCTTTCCCAAGCAGTGGGGGATATGGAAGTTCTCAATACATAGGGCTTTCTGTGATAAAACCAAGAAATTCCTAGAACAAACTAGTCACTCTTGGAAGACCTTCAATCTTTTTAAAAATATATATTATTGGAAAGTCAGATATACAGAAAGGAGGAGAGAGAGAGAGAGGAAGATCTTCTGATGATTCACTCCCCAAGTGGCCTCAATGGCTGGAGCTGAGCCAATCCAAAGCCAGAAGCCAAGAACTTCTTCCGGCTATCCCACACGAGTGCAGGGTCCCAAGGCTTTGGGTCATCCTTGACTGCTTTCCCAGGCCACAAGAAGGGAGCTGGATAGGAAACAGGGTCGTTGGGACAGGAACCAGCACTCATATGGGATCCTGGAACATGCATGACAAGGACTTTAGCGGCCAGGCTACTGCACCAGGCCCAAGACCTTCAAGCTTTTTTTTTTTATGACACCATTTAATAGGCTCTGGGGTCTCCTTATCCCTCTCCAAGTTCCCTTTCCTCCCCACCCTTCTCCCCTCCAGTCTTACAATGGGTGTTTTGTGAATTTTCACAAGTCCATCCATGCTGCCACTGAGATGTCTCCCAACAATGTAAGAGACCTTCAATCTTTATCCCACATACCTAAATTTTACCAACGGCCAGAATGAGTCCTAAGTAGATCACAGTCGTTAACCACTTTTTAGGCTGTCAGAAATAACCAGCATGGCTTCCAGCTGTGTCCTCACAAGGATCTTTTAGCTAATTAAATAAATATAATTGAATTACTATGACTGACACTTCTACTCACATCAAGTACCTAATGTATGATACTTCTAACATTTCCAAAAAGGATAAGAAAATAAATGGTACTCAAACCCCACCCCAAACTTCAATCCCTATGAAAATTCTACTAAACTATGCCCCAGACACCCCCTATGCCTCCAGATTATATAAAACTTGTTGGATGCAACGCACTCTCAATTCTTAAATTCCCATAAAACAGACACTAACTATAGCATTAACAGAGATAAAACTGAGGAGGAAAGGGGGCTTCAACACGGGAAGCAACAGCACAGGCCATACATATGATAACATATACAGGCCATACATATGATAACATATACAGGGCTTTCTGTGACCACAACTAGAACCCTGCAACCGCTGGGCTAAACATGGGTGAAGAGCTCAAGAGAACATTTTGGTTATGGCAAAGTAGGACACTGATGGAAAAAAAAGGCCCTTGCCTTAAAAGCCTGCATGCTGTCCTCCCTGATGTATGCAAGAGGAATAATAAAATAGGAATTTTTTAAATAAATCTTTTTTCTTAAAGATTTATTTATTTATTACCAAGTCAGATATACAGAGAGGAGAAGAGACAGAAAGGAAGATCTTCCATCTGATGATTCACTCCCCAAGTGAGCGCAATGGCCGATGCTATGCCGATCCAAAGCCAGGATCCAGGAACTTCCTCCAGGTCTCCCACACAGGTGCAGAGTCCCAAAGCTTTGAGCCGTCCTCGACTGCTTTCCCAGGCCACAAGCAGGGAGCTGGATGGGAAGTGGAGCTGCTGGGATTAGAACAGGCACCCATATGGGATCCTGGCGCGTTCAAGACGAGGACTTTAGCCACTAGGCCATGCCACTGGGCCCAAAATTGGGATTTGCCTTAGCTCTAAAGGAAAATAGGACTCCCCATTACCTCATATTTATCTGAGAACTGAAGGAGTCTGGGAAGTCAAGGTGGCTCCCACCAACCCCTATGGCATCACACTCCTGGAGATGCAGATAACCCTGGATGTCACAGGTAAGAATATCAATTTTGTAATTAATACAGAAGCCACTTAACTCTGTTCTCAGTTCCCATAAAGGACTCCTAGAGTTGGTGGCAAGTCTGACTCCCAAAAACTTTCTTGGGCTCTGGTTTGCCAAACAGAGACATTCTCATCTCCCACCAGTTTTTAGTGATGCTGGCATGATCAACTAATTTACTTGGCAGGGATTTGTTATCCTCCCTGGACATCTCTCCCGGGTTAATCACCCTTAAATCTGAATCTTTTATTATAATCTTGTTGAGCACCCAGACATGCTCCAACATGGATGACCTTCCTGTTAAAATTTAAAATAGAGTAGATCTTCGTGTCTAAGATCAGGGTAACCCCGATGGGCTATGCATCATATTCCTCCTAAAGAACAAGGCAAAATTACCTTATTAATGCCAATATCCCCATAAAACCAGAAGCCAAGCAGTGGTTCCAACCTTAGATTGGTATATTTCTCAATTGTAGAGACCTGTTTCCATTTCAGTTGCCTTGAAATATTCCTTCTGGGTTTTTTTTTTTAAATGTTTACTTACTTACTTATTGAAAAGTCAGATATATACAGAGGAGGAGAGACAGAGAGGAAGATCTTCTGTCTAATGATTCACTCCCCAAGTGGCCACAGTGGCCTGAGCTGAACTGATCCGACGCCAGGATGCAGGGTCCCAAGGCTTTGGGCCATTCTAAACCGCTTTCCCAGGCCACGAGCAGGGAGCTTGATGGGAAGCGGGGTTACTGGGATTAGAACCAGTGCCCATATGGGATCCTAGCACGTGCAAGGCTGTTCAGTTTGCCCCTAACCCTAGCCTTCATCCAAACTGGTAGGTATGATAGTCTAGCCCAGCACTGCCTGTACTCCATCTTGTCTCCTGCATATGCCAATGTGTGGTCCAGCCCTACCCCACCCTCTATCCCTGGAAGCAGCACACATACGGTGGAGCAACCTTTCCTAGACTGACCAACACCCAGCACTGAGTCACATGCTCACCAGTGACAGCTGCAGTCCAAC